GCAAGGTCCTGAGTTCTATTCCTGTACCAGAAAAAAAAAAAAAAAAGAGTTAACTGGACTCACTTATACCAACTGTGTGGTATTTAGGAGGCACATACAGTTGCTCTGCCATATCTGCAGGATCTGCATCCTCAGATACAACTAGCCATAGATTGAAAAAATACCTGTGGATGGGGTCTTCATTTGGACTAAACATGTACAGATTTTTTTCTTGTTGCTACTTGCTAAACAGTACAGTGTAGTAGCTACTGCATTAAACTGGGTATTATAAGTAATCTAGAAATGATTAAAAGTATACGGGAGGATATATGTAGATTATATGCAAATATTATACCATTTTACATAAGGGACTTGAATATCCTCATGTTTTGGTAGCTGTAGAAGGTCCAGGAATCCATCCCCCATGAATACCGAGGGAGAACTGCAGAGAAAATAGAATCTGATTAAGAGGCTAAATATCTTTTCTCTGGAGAAAGTGCATAGTTTTCATGCTGAGGCTGTGTGGCAGCTATTTTCAATACTCAGGCCTGCAGGATTAAATTACTGGGACACTTTACCACTAGGTAAGAGTAGAGTTACTCTAGTGAAGTGAGGGGTCTTACTGCCATGGATGAGTACCAAGGGAAGAGAGGGAGGGATATTGGTGTTAGTAGAATACTTCAAAAAACTAATATCATTCTATTTTATATTGCATTTGTCCTTTAGCATCAACTTTCTCCTTTGGAGTGCATTCTCTATGCTATGTTCACATTATTTTATTTACTCATATAGATTATTACTTGCATTTGACACAAGCAGCATTGAAACTCAGAGGTTAAATAACCTACCTTTATTTTAGATAGGGTCTTGCTATTTAGTCAGTCTGGCCTTGAACTCACAGTGATCTTCCTACCTATCTTCCGAGTGCTGAGATTATGGGTGTGCACCACTACTATGCCCAGCTACTGTTTTAATAATTTGAAGTGAGAAAGAAAATGCAATGAAATCTCATTACTTTGAATGGCATTAATTCTC